CCTCACACAGGCTAAGTCCACCGCGGAACGAGGGCAGACAGAGGGTCAGAGCCCCAGAACCAGCATGGAGCGGGGAGGGGAAGAGTAGCCGAGGCATGGGGCAGGGAGGCTGGGACTGGCTGCAGGGCGCGAGGGTGGGCAGTAGCTGAGGGAGCAGGGCAGGCAGGAGCCAGTGTGGCCAAGGGGCTTGTTAGTTCAGGTGGCGCGTGGCTCCCGGGAGGACCCTGCAGAGGGGGACACAGGCCGCCTGAAGTGTCGGTGCCGTTGGCGTCCGCGCAGGGACACCTGGGGGCCTCAGACTCCACCCTGGCATCCTGTGCGCGGTGGGAGCATTTGCTGTTGTTAACCCTCACCTCAGGGCATTTCCCCATTGGTGTTGAAAGAGAGCGGAAGGGAGGGGGCGACAGAGACATCGATGGGTTGCCTTCCCCCACTACCGGCTGGATGGAACCTGCACACACTCTGAGTATGTGCCCTGACGGAATCAACCGGAAACCTTGTGGTGAACGGATGATGCTCCAACCAGGCGAGCCAACTGGCCAGGGCCTGAGGCCGTGTCTGAGCAGGGGCAGCACAGGGCAGTGTCCCCTCTGGGAGGGTGGGAGCGGGTCTGAGGCCCAGCTTCCTGCCTGGAGGCGGCTCTTGTTTTGCAGCTTCGCCTGTGCCCTGCAATGCTGGTTCGGGGCCACGTGACCGCGTGGAAGCCCAGCTGCCCTGAAGTGCCACGCCAGGAGCCCGTCACACGGAGAGGTTTTGATCTTTTCCTCAGCTAGTAATTTTACTTTTTAAATGTATTATTTTTATGTACATCCCCCCGTCAGTCTGTTCTGTGTGTCTTGTTTGTTGGTTGGTTGGTTGTGTTCTTTAGATTCCGTGTGCGTGAGCTCATGGTGCTTGCCTGTCTGCCTCACTTACACTGAGTGGCCAGATTATTATGACCACCTGACGTTTATAGGCAAATTAGCCGTACACTGCATCGTATGGGATATGGAAGCCGAAGGTCTGTTCGAACACCTTTGATGTCTGCAGTTACCAAGATAAAACGTCTCCAATTCGCACAGAAACACAAGGATTGGGCAGTCGAGCATTGGGAAAAAGTCATGTGGTCCGATGAATCACGTTTCCAGTTGCATCATGCAGCTGGCAGAGTGAGAATTGGGCGGAAACAGCATGAAAGCGTGCACCCCACATGCATGAGTACAACCCTTCAAGCTGGTGGGGGCAGTGTTATGGTTTGGGGCATGTTTTCCTGGCATGATTTGGGCCCTTTAATTCGTGTGGAACAACGTCTGAATAGCACAACATACCTAAGTATCGTTGCTGATCAGGTTCATCCTATCATGTTGATGGCGTATCCCAATGGAGATGGCTTCTTCCAACAAGACAATGCGCCTTGCCATGGTGCTCGTATTGTGCAGGAGTGGTTTCAAGAACATGAGGGAAACTTTACCTTGCTTAGGTGGCCCCCACCATCACCAGATCTCAATCCAATTGAGCATTTGTGGGACGAAGTTAAAAGAGCCACCAGGCAGCTGATTCCACAACCATCAAATCTCACAGAACTGGACAGTGCTATTCATCAGGCATGGTGTCAGATTCCTCGCATCACCTTTCAACCTCTCGTGGAGTCAATGCCAAGAAGAATCGCCGCAGTATTGAAGGCAAAAGGTGGCCCAACGAAGTACTGATGGGGTGGTCAATAATCTGGCCACTCACGTTCAAATATATCCCTCATTCAAAGGCTGTTAAATCGAGTTTTTTACCCACATCTTCAGAAAAAAATGACTTCTGTCGTGGTAAACAACCTGCTTCGCTATTTATAATGGTCTGGCCTCTAGCAACTTCAGCACGAAATTATAGCTAATTTGCTTACAAAGGTCAGGTGGTCATAATAATCTGGCCCCTCAGTGTATTTCACCGAGTGCCCTCTCGGTCCATCCGTGTTGCTGCAGATGGTGACCTTCCATTCCTCTTATGCACACGTAGGACCCCATCGCACATATGTCCCTCATCTCTACCGTGTCTGTCCATGGACCAGGCTTATTCCACTTCTTGATTATTGTGGATAAAGCTGCGCTGAAAATGGGCTTCCCAGGCACCAAACATGGGGTATGTTTATCTTTTTTAATTAGGGTTTTTGTTTTCTTCATATAAATACCCAGAAGTGGAATCGCTGGGTCATAAGGCAATTCCATTTTTAATTTTTTAAAATATATTTTTATTGATTTCAGCGAGGGATAGAAACATCAGTGATGAGAGAGAATTATTGATCGGCTGCCTCCTGCATGCCCCGCACTGGGGATCAAGCCCACAACCCAGGCATGTGCGCTGACTGGGAATCGAACCATGACCTCCTGCTTCACAGGTCGACGCTCAACCCCTGAGCCACACCAGCCAGGCCAATTTTAATCTTTGGAGGACACTCGATACTGTTTTCCGCAGTGGCTGCACCAGTCTGCACTCCCACCTGCAGAGCACTACGGTTCCCTTCTCCACGTCCTCGCCAGCACTTGGGTTGATGTATATTTTTTCTGTATTTTTTTTTTAGATAAAGGCTGCTTTTATTGAATGACTGAACCTTGGAATTGCCACTACGTACAGGTAAGAGAGGTGAAGCTTTATTTCTTGGTCTCTTCCTCCTTGGACAGAGTCTTGACAATCTCCTCCTTCTTGGCCTGGAGCCGCTCTTCACGGCGCTTGTGGGCTTCCTTGGTCTTAGACCTGCGGGCCTCGGCCTGGTCAGCCAGAAGCTTCTTGCGAGCCTTGTCTGCCTTCAGCTTGTGGATGTGTTCCATGAGCATCCGCTTGTTTTTGAACACGTTACCCTTCACTTTCAGGTACAGGCTGTGGTACGTGTGGCGGTCGATCTTCTTAGATTCACAATATCTTCTGAGTAGCCGGCGAAGAATCCTCACCCTCTCATCCAGGTCACTTTCTCAGGCATTGGAGCATGGGCGGTACCCTTTCCTTACCTCTGCCCATATGCCTGCCCTTCCTGCGGGAATGGACAGTCACAGGCTTCCGGATGATCAGCCTGTCTTTGATCAGCTTCCAAGTCTGCTGCCAGGAGTTGGCGTTGACGATTTCATGGGTCTCATGGGGTCCAACCAGACCTTCTTTTTGCCACAGCGGAGGGCGCTGGAGGCAAGCCTCTTCTGAAGCCTGAGCATCCTCATGCTGCTGCCGCAGCGGTGAAAGAATTGATGTATTGATGGTAGCCATCTGGCAGCTGTGAGGTGGCACCTCATGGTTTTAATTTGCATCTCTTTGGTGATAGTGATGTTGAACATTTTTTCATATGTCTCTTGGCTATTCGTCCTCTTTGGAGAAGTGTCTATTCAGTTCCTTTGCCCACGTTTAATTGGATTGGTGTGGGTTTTTGGTGTTAAGTTGTATGAGTTCTTTTTTTTTTTTTTTTAAATATATTTTATTGATTTTTTACAGAGAGGGAGAGAGATAGAGTTAGAAACATCGATGAGAGAGAAACATCGATCAGCTGCCTCCTGCACATCTCCTCCTGGGGATGTGCCCGCAACCCAGGTACATGCCCTTGACCGGAATCGAACCTGGGACCTTTCAGTCCGCAGGCCGACGCTCTATCCACTGAGCCAAACCGGTTTCGGCATATATGAGTTCTTTATACATTTTGGGTACTAACCCCTCATTGGCTGTATCATTGGCAAATGTTTTCTCTCATTTGTTAGGATTTTTTGTTTTGTTGGTTTTTTCACTGTGCAAAACTTTGTGGTTTGATGAAGTTCCATTTGTTTATTTTTTTAGCCTTTGCCTGAGGAGACATATCCAAAAAGATATCGCTAAGAGCAAGGTCAGAAAACTCAATGCCTATTTGTATGTCAGCGGTTCAACCTTTTTCCTCTCGTGGCACACAAACTAATTACTAAAATAAAAGAATGTATTTTTTTTTTGCCCATCTGACAAAAAAATGGGTATCATTTTGGTTCATTCACCAGACGGCTATTGTGTTGGCTGTGTCATTTTTTTACTTGACAATCTAAGGGGGAAGAGGTCAGGTATTGCGTTTTAAAAATTCTTGTGACGCACTGGTTAAAAATCGCTGCTCTAGGAGTTTATGATTTCAGCTGCTACACTTGCTTATTCTGTATATGGTGTAAGAAAGTTTCATTTTTTTGCATGTATCGGTCCAGTTTTTCCATTTACTTTATGTATTGGCTTTACGACACTGTATGTTCTCGCCTCCTGTGTCAGAAAGTAACCGCACCTGAGCGAGGATTTATTTACCTGGCTGGCTGTTCCACTGGCCCGGATCTGCTTTGGTTACCGTACCCTTGCAGTACAGTTTGATATCAAAGAGCATGGCACCTCCCAATTGGTTGTTTCTCAAGAGTTCTTTGGCTATTTGGGGTCTTTTGAGGGTCCATATGGGGCCGTTCCAGGCCCAGCACTGAGAGAGGAAGTACACAGGGCCCAGCGGGGCTGCCCGCGGAAGCAGCAGAGACTGGCACCTGGGGAGGCCGAGGGGCTGGAATTGTGGGGCAGCGTTGCAGACAGGAGGGGCTGCACAGAGCCCTGGAGACCTGCGGCGTCCCCTCGGACCTACGCGCCTGCGCATGTGGAATCAAGTTCTGTGTCTGCAGGGGAATCGCCAGAAAGCAGGAGGCGGAGGGAGGAGTGGAAGATACAAAACAGGTGCAAGTGAAGCTTGTAAAGAAATGAGAAGGACCCTGGACAGACCCACAGGCGAGAGCGCGCTGGCATCGGAGTGGGAACTGCCAGAAGTGGAGCCGAGAGAGAAGAGGGAGAGGTGGGGCCGCGCGCCCCTGTGCATATGAGGAACAGAAGCCCTGACGGAAGTCAGCTGTCCCAGCCGCCGTCCCTGCCTCAAGGGAAGTGGGAAGAGGGTGTCCCCCGGGAGGTGGCAAGCAGGAGGCAGGCCTCTCATCCGATGATCTGGCTCCTGCCCAGGTGAAGTGCTGCTGGGCCCCTCGCCCCAGGCCCCGCCCTGCAGCCTCAGCAGCCACTGCAGCAAACGCGTTTATTATAAAAATAAGTGGCTACAAAGCACATGGCTCTCACCTCTGGACATATGACAGACACTAAGCAACGCAGTGTATTTCATGGCCCTGCCGAGGCCGCAGTGCTCGGCTCTCCAACCTGGGGTGCCCTTCCACCCTGGGACCCAACATGTGGTTCCCTCGGGCAGCCCCCTATTCCCGCGAGATGCAACGTCCCAGGTGCAGGTGGGGGCGGGACCATCACCTTGGCCTGTGAGCTCCTGCTCTGGCCCCGGCCTGACAGCTTGAGGACCCAAAGCCCAGCCTCTGTTCCACAGCCCGAGGGGGACCAAGGTGAAGGCCAGAGCACCCTCCGCCCGCATCTCGGGGTCCCACTGTCGCAGGCCGAGAGCACCGGCCTGTCCCCCGCCTGGCTCACAGGCAGCACTCGGCCACGTGTCTGAAGAGCTCCTCGCCCTGCTCGTCGCTGAAGCACTGCAGGCAGTGTGGACACTGCAGGTCCCCCTGGCCTCTCCGGGCAGCTCCGGGGCACCCGCCCTCTGCAGGGGGGGCCAGGCCCTGGGGTGCAGACACAGGCCTCTGGCCACCAGGCACCACCAACTCCGAAGCATTGGTCTCTGCGGGCTTGGGTGCTCTGCTCCCCGTGCGGATCCGGCAGGAGCCTGGCTCTTGGGGGTCCTGGAGAAAAGGCAGAGGATGTAATGGCTGTGCCGCAGGCCACCACGCTGGTCTCGGCTCATCCACCCTCGCCCTGCTTCCTACTTGGCCCAGAGCCCAAAAGAGAACAGAGGAGGCAGGAGGAGGAGCAGAGGCCAAGCGGCACCTGGGGCCACAGGTCTCCTTCCTGGATACGGGCGTGCTCCCCGGTGCATGGCAGTGAGCACCGGCGGCAGACAGCCCCGGGGGCAGCCACCTGCTGTCACACCCCACGCCAACCTCCTCCGCAGACAGGACCACAGGAGGCTGGTCTCCACCACCACGCCCGTGCCAGGTGCCAGGGCTGGCTCTGCCGGAGCGGGAAACGGGTCTGAGCAGACAGAGGACTTGGCGTTCATGGGAAGGAGAGAGAGGCCTGAGCGCTCAGGGGCGACCCTCACACCCACCTGTCTGCGTGCCTGGCGCAGGGCCGCCACCTCGTCCTCCAGCTCCTGGATCCTGCTCTGCGCCCGCTCCCGATCCGCCCTCTCCGACGTGAAGTCGTCCTTGTAGGCGAGGACCTGAAGAGAGCAGGCCCTCAGCCATCACAGGCTGCACAGGGAGGGACTCGCCTATCCTGCCCCTCCTACCTGCTGCTCCAGCATCTGCGCCCGCTCCCGCACCGCCGCCAGCTCCCTCGCGGCCCCCGCACACTCGCTGATTCTCTCCTCCAGCTGCCGGTTGAGCCTGGCGATCTCCTTCCTCATCAGCTCCGCCTCGGGCTGGGGAGCCTGCAGCCCCCGCAGCTGGGCCCGCAGCTCCCGCACATACTCATCCCTGCTGGCATCATAGCGCTGCCACTTGGCATTGAGGTCTTCCACCTGCGGGCAAGTGCAGTGAGCGGCTGGCAGGGCCGCTCTCCTGCCCACTGAGCCGGAAGCTACTGATGGGCGAGGCGGAGCCGAGGGAGGGGTCCCCGGGAACGGAGGGGCCTCTCCTCGCTCCGCACAAGCAGCGCCTTAAACACAAGTGGACGTTTCCGGCCTCGGGAGCCTCTGGATGGTGACTCCTGCCCCCTGTAAGGACACGGGAACTGGCGGGCGTGGGACCACAGGACGTGTGTCAGCCAGAGGGGCCCGAGGGCAGGGCCTGCGGAGCTCTTCCCGAGTGAACGGCAGACACTCACGTGAGTCACCTTCTGCTTCAACAGCCGGTTTTCCTCCTGGAGCTTCTCAACAGCAGCCTGGACAGAGGCGTCCCTGCCTGCAGGTTCCGGCTGCACAGAGAGGACGCGGTCACAGGCGTGTCGGTCACGCGCAGCGGAGGGGAAGGAGCCAGACCCAGGGGCTGCGGTCACAGGTGCCCCAGGCCCACCCTCCTCTGGGGCCAGGCCACACCCCATCACAGGTCAGCAGGGCAGGAGGCTGAGCCCACTGTCCACCGAGCACACTCCGCAGGGGCCACGGAGCTACAGGGCAGGCCTGGCCGTGGCCCGGGCTCATCCCTCCCAAGCCCTCAACCCCGTGGTCTCCAGACACTCAGGGTCAATTTCACGCAGGCTCAGGGGTGTCGCACCCAAAGCCACCTCCCAGAGCAGCCCTCACAGGGGGCAGAGGGAGCTGGAGACTCTCAGGGAGGGTCCCGGCTCCTCGAGAGCCTGCCTCTGACAGGTTCTGGAGAATTCCCCAGAACCACAGGAAGTGCTGGCCTCACTCAGCGCGGGGAAGCCCCATGACTCAGCTGAGCCCAGGGCTGGGAAGTGATGCTGACTGAGGCTGCGGGGCCGTGCCCAGCCCGGCCCACGCCCGCCCACGTGGCCCAGCCGACCACCATGCCTGGCCACTTCTGGATCTCCACAGGGAAAGGACAGTGACTCCAACCCGGACGAGAACACGCCTCCTCCCAGGGGCCCTCTCCTTCGGTCTCTGACACACGTGTCGCTGAGGTGCCCTTTGGGGGAGCCCACCCAGCTGCGCCGGTTCTCAGGCGGAGTCTCCCGTGAAGCTGAACGCGGGAGGGGCCGCCGCCCAGGACACAGCAGAGCGCACTGCGGAGCCGCCTGCGGGAGCCCAGAGAGGCCCTCCCGGCCCAGCCTCCCCTCACAGCGGCTGGGCCGGAAGGAGCAGGGAGGTCGGCTTCGGCCCATCGCTCCCTCATTCCCTCTGCTCCCGACACCCCCTCGGGAGCCCCTGTGGCTCCATCTGAGGAGATTCCTGACGCTGAAGCCCTCACTGCCCCCCTCTCCCCACAGCCCAGCTCCCCCCTGTCAGGGGGCCCAGCCCCGCCCTGCACAGGCCTGGCCCGGCTCCATCCTCACTTCACGATGAGGACGCTGGAGCCAGAGGCCAGCTTCAGAGATGGCGGCCCCGCTCCGCGGGACTCAGACGCAGGGGCCCACACGAGGCTGCGCTCAGTCCCCTGCACAGGCGGCCGGGGGAGCCTTGCCCCTCGCCTCGCCCCGCCGTGCCCAGCCCTGCCCCATGTCCCCACGCCG